GGGTGGGGTGGGAGGGGGGGTGGTATTGCGCGTATATCGCCACGCCTTCGTCGGTCCACTCCGATCCTCTCTCACCAAGAACACCGACGGGAAGAAGAGCAGGAAGTCCAGCGACGACAGGGTCATGACGCCGAGCACCGTGATGAGCGCGTCCCCTACGAACCTCCCGAACGTGCCCGCCTCGGTTGCAAGGAACCCCGAGTTCCACGTGCCCCTGTATATTTTCCGTCGGAACGAAAGGCAGGGAGGTTGGGAGGTTGTTGGTTGTATGTGTTCTGACGACCAAGGGTGACGGTGCTCAAGTAGGACTCCGCTCTGTACCTCTCGCCGGTGGACCACTGTCGCCTGCAGTCCAGAGCATCACACGACGACGACGACGGTAGCAACAACGACGTCCAACACCAACACCAGCCCCAAACACCAACATCAACATCAACGCAAGCCTCAAAGCCGAAACCGCATATCACAAAAAGCTTGGTTGCACACGGGGCCAATGGGCTGGTACATGCAGTACGTATCATCACACAACAACTCACTTGGCCAGCTCTGCGGGAATGATCTTCGACGTGATCGACATGATCACCCCCTCATGAGCCTGCATCGCCACGAACGCAAGGCTGACCCCTGCGACGTACTGCCCCTCCGTGTACCGGAACGGCGACATGGAAAAGTCCACGATCACGAGGCAGCCGATGCCGGCGAACACCGCCAGCACCTGGAGCATAACCCTGGATTAAAGAAGAGCGAAATAACGCAGAACCGGGTTTGTACTCATTGCCGTGCATGCCGTAGTCGTGGTGGGGGGGTCAGAGCACCATGCTGCTCGCGCCTCAGCAAAACTGGCCGTCATGCATACCACTATGGCACCGTAGGCAACAAAGGGTTACCCCCACTCGTCTAGTGGTTAACCTGACAGAGCCACGAGGTTGTGGGTTCGACTCTCTGGAGGGTTTTAGACTGGCGCCAGAATTAATGATATGGACACACAGCCCCCCCCCCCCCCCCCCCAACATAAAGGCTGCGTTTTGATGGGGGGTGGGA